CTTCCTAATTTCTGCAAAGATAATTTCTAAAACTATGTTAGTATACAGAGTTATTAGCAGAAAAAGTTTGTTAGCTTTTTAAAATGCAATCTAGAGATCTTATTTACATCTTTTACTTTACTATTGAGGGTTTCAGATACTGAATATCAGGTGTCTTTATTGCATATGCGAGTGAAAACATTTCAGTTTTATTCGCTTATATTAAGATATTCAGTTGCTAGCACATCATGTACAATAACAAGGGAAAATACTGTCCTTGACAGTCTAAAAATACAGACTGCAAATAGAGCAGTGGAAGGCAGTTCAGGACTTGAGTTAGGACTGTGAGTGAAGATGAAAATGTCTTGTCAGTTCTGTTGGAAATAGAGTCAGAAAAGAAATGCAACTGGTGATGCGTAAGTGATGTAGCTGCTGCATTCATCAGTCTTCTGAGGACGCTTACAAAGGGAAAAGTTCTGGCGCAGACTCACGTAACTTGGGAGGAGTTCAACAGCAAAAGTTTTTACAAGAGGAGCGCAGAGGGCGTGTGCTGAAACACAGCTGTATATACTTCTATGGCACTTTTGGATGAAGGAGGAGATGTGTGGCTGTTTCTTGCAGGATTTCCTGCCCAGTCATTCATTGCCTGTCTCTCTGAGCAATGGGTGAGATGCTAGCTCATATTCCAATGTAAAGATATTGAAACCAATGATTTAGCAACTGGATTGCAGAAATGTATGTCCAAGTATTGGTGGCTAATGGCACATTTAAATGTGCAATTGCCAGATATGAATCGATATGATTAAAGCTTCCAGGAACACTCTGTAAATTAATGCCGATATCGGGTTGGAAAAAGTGTCTCTTGGAACATAAATTTTCTAAAATAAGTAGCGCTGAGTTTGTTTCAGTAGTTTCCATCCTAGGTTATTCATTAAAACATGTCTTTCTAATTGTTAGTCTTGTGAATGCAACTTTGCAAAATTACTTAGAAGATTCGGGGAGAAGGGAAGAAAAATTTGTAATGCTTCTCTCCCTGTCCCCCTCACCCGCTTTCACAGAGCAGAAATCTTGGATGTGTAAACTTACTGGGCTGTACTAGTGAAGTCAGTGATGAAGTGAAGACCTTGTTCAGTATTTCAGTTCAGTGCATCAACAGGGAAGAACAAGTTGGCTTGTTTGGAAGTTGCAGTTTTAGGGGAGTGTAATTTACATCATCAGTTCTTAAGTTCATTAAAAGATGATGGATATTTGTGTGCAGCGTTGCATTTGATTTCTCTGTCAAGTCTCCAAATCCTTTTTCTGCAAGCTTTCTGGCATTAAAAAAAAAAGAAATAAGAAATTTATACATTAGACAAATGAAACAATTGAGCAGGTTTAATAAGTGTGTTAAGACCAGGCCCCTGGGATCTGGAAGATCTGGTGTGGTGGAATTTGTTTGGTTTAGTTTTTGTTTTTATGAAATAGGTATTGGGATATGCCGCACTGTTTTGAAAGAGTGAACTGCTGCACAACTGGCATTTGAAGTGAAGGCATTAGAAATGTGAGATGTGCCCTGGTTAACACGTCAGCAGGTTGAGCTTCACAGAGATAATGTTGCGTTGGCAGTGGTGTCCGGTGAATTATATGCATGCACGCATTCAAACCATCTTTAAGCAAATCGTGAAGCAAATAATCTTTAAGCAAAAGATATTCTGTAAAACTGTAAGATATTTTCTAACATTTATTTGCAATTATTTGAGGTAGAGCTTTACCCCAGAGGGTAAAGGCTGTGAACTTCACTGTTGCATGGTAGGAGTATGATAGGTTTGAGGGAGCTTTGTGTTTCATGGAGAGCATCTGAAGGGGAAGGGAGGAACGGTAACATTTTCCCCAAATCATGTGCTAGGGAGTAAAGAGCAGCCCAGAGGGGGGGTTATGTCCTCAGATATAGGCCTGACTGGAGAAGTTGGTTTATGAAATTTAAATCACTCTTGGCAGCTCTTCTTGGAGAAATTTAAGGGGGAAGCATCTCTGTGTTAATTGAAAATGTTTTGCTTAACAGATTTAGAGCTATAGATCTCCCAAGTCCCACATTAATAGTGTATATGCATTTTTTGGTAGTATGCTTATTCTGATTATTAGTTTAAAATTTTGTCTTTCTATCTGACAGTTTTGGAACTCCTTTAAGAGTTGTTTGTTGTAAGGGTTGAGAGGGGAACAAACTTGGTGGTTCTTTCTTAAATAAGCCTTTCAGAGATTTTGATCTTTTGTCAAAAGTCAATTTTGGTTTTTCCTTTGTCAGAGAATCTACAATTTTTTTGTGCATTTGATAAGTTAATTTATTTTAGTGTCGACATATTACACTGATTTAATGATGGGATCTCCTAGACTTGGGCTTTCTTGCTTCTTTGGGTGCAAGATCACTTCAGTGGGGAGAAGGAGATATTGTTGTGTTGGTTTTGTCCTTGTGAGAGGACCATGTTACTTTTAGGTATCTCTTCAAATTTCCTTAGGCCTTTTTTTTGGCTGATGCTGGTTTTCTTTCTTACCAGAAACAACAAACACTTTCAGACATTCTTTTCCTTTAGTCCTAGCAACTTTTATTAACTTACCACTCAGAAAGCCTTTGGTACAGTATCTTTTTGTATTTCTTCCTGCTCTTCTCTAATGTGAGTTTTAGGCTGTGTGTTAAAGTACCAGAAACGTCAGTAAATGTCTTGGCTGAATCCATGAACACGACTTGGACTCTAAGCACATTCGTACTAGAGATTAGGTGACTGCTGCTTCCTTGCAGTGGAAACACGCATTTCTCGCCTTCTGCAGGGCATGGTCCTTCTCCTGTCTCAGTCTTCATCAGCCAGGTGGATCTCACCTGATCCCGGAGCTTGCAAATGCATTTTCCTGAGGAAAATCAGGATGGTGAACTCCCATAGTTCCTTTAAAACACTTCAAAGACATTTGTATCCAAAAATTAGAAACAGAAATCAGTTAGATTTTGAAAGTCTTCATTCCTTCGTTGTTGGCTGTAGACATGAAGTCAGGTGGAGCTTGGAGTACCATTTGGGCTCCTATTTTTGTCTCGTCTGCTAAAAATAAGGTGTGGCTAGCAGTTACCTGGAAGACAATCAAGAATTACCGATACCTTTGAAATATATAGATTACATTCTCAGTTACTGATCATTCAGGTTATTGTCTTTTGGGAAGGATTACCAAAAATCCTAAGACATTTCAAATTACTTTTAGAGTCCTTGTTCTTTTTTTGTTCACATTCTGTGCAGAATTTGATAGAGTGCATTACATTATGGTACATGATATGATGCAGTACACTAGGTCCTTATGATGGTTGACTAAAGCAGATATTTGTGGTAAGATCAGGTCTCTTAAACTTCTGTTAGATTGTGCGGGTTTTCTTCAAATGGCCTTGGATTTTCTTCCCATCCCTTCAAACCTATTTTTCAAAAAAACTTTTGAACTTTGAAAATAGGATGACACCCAAAGCTTTTGAAATTTGGATCAGGGAAGAGGGAAGTTCCTGAAATTGTAGCCAGCAATTAAGCCTCAGGCTCTGTCTGGTGCTTGGAAGACCTTGGAGTGGCTGTTTCAATCCAGCATCAGCTTCCATGTGGTGTTCTTAAGCCTGGGATGGGTTGACTAGAAACTGATTAACTCAGACAATTTGTTTCAGATCTTTGGTTTGCTTAGTATATACAACCACAATTTTGTACAGGCTGCTAAGTTTCTCTGTCAGGTTGTTCAGCTGAACTGGGAGAGGCTTTTTTGCTGGTGCAGCCCTGGGAGACTTGGATCAAAATACCCTCAGCAGAGTTTCCTGATCAGAAGCCTGTTTGACATCTTGTGTCTCTCTGCTCTTCCATACTTTTCTATTCTTTGCAGAGAAAAAAAAAATAAAGTTGGCTCTGGCATAACATTATTATTTTTAGCCTGAGATGTTAATAAGCTCTGACCATGGGCAGGGTCACCTCCCACCAGACCAGGTTACCCAAAGCCCTGTCCATCCTGACATTGAACACCTCCAGGGAGGGGTCACCCACAACTTCCCTGGGTTATATTGCTCTATGAACTCTTTCCAACAGTATTTCCAAATTACTTTCTGAAAAAAGTAACATTTTGTATAAGCTATCACAGCTCTATAAAATCTCAGCAGTTTTCAAACAAAGATGGCTAAAGTTCCATTCAAGGTATAAAAAAACTTGTAAGGTTATATACACACACATATGTGTGTGTGCATATGTATGTGTGTGTATGTATTAGTAAGAAATAAAATCATTAAGCTTAATAATTAAGATTTTTTGTTTGTTGAAGTTCACTGGAAGTTAGAATGTAGTTAGGTTGCTTCCTTCAGGAAAATAAAAATCCCCAAATTATTCTTTCCTTTTGTTATTAAGGGAAAAATTAAAATCAAAACCCAGGCTTGTGTCCCTTACAGATGTTTATGCAACCTTTTTTCTTGGGAGTGAGGGCAGCTGTTTTTTGGGTATGCTTTTAGAAGCAGAAAGGTTGTTACAGTCTAGCTCATAAAGGGAGATCCAGGAGGTCTTGAAGTGGGCTAGGTGACGTGGTGGAGTAGACATTCATTCCTAAATTCCTAGTAGTAGAAGCAGTGTCATTCTGTATACCTGCGCATCAGGCTCACCAACGACAATGAAACTGGAGAATAGATGGAAAATAAGTGTAGCCTCTTTCTCTATTTGAATGCAGAATTTCAACTACAGTGGGAAAGTATGAGATTTTTGCTGCTGAATGAAGGCAAGGAGTCAGTCTTTCTTACCCAACAGACTTTTATGTGCCTTTGGAATTGCAAAAGATTAGGAGTACACTTTGATGGAAGAGTATTATGGATGCAGCATTAAAAGAATTTTCTCAAAGGGTGGAGTTTAGCCAGAGAAAAGACTCCTTTTCATTTTTGGCATCATGCTGAGTCTAGAATAAGTATCTTGCAACACTTCTATCTCTGCACTTGACAATATTTAGGTCTTTCTGTAAACATATAATAAATTTGGTTTTCTCATTTTTTGTTACAGGAGCTAGAGTTAATGCCAAAGACAGCAAATGGTTGACTCCTTTACACAGAGCTGTGGCATCTTGTAGTGAGGTATGCTTTTTTTAAATATTTGACTGCTTTGTGTTAAAATAAGACATCTCAAATTACCTTTTGTTCCTTGTTCACTTTTTACAAAGCGAAAGTACTCCAAACATTTGGAATTGCAGAACATTTTTGCAACAGTTTGTTTAACCCGTTGAGGATATGTGTATGTATGTGACATGCCTGAGTAGGAAGAAAGAGGGAAAGCTATAAACACCACTTCCCTAGCAGAGGATTCTGCATGCAGTGTTCTCAGGTCCAGTTTACTTCTCTTAAGGTAACCAGAATAGTTCAGCATGAGGGAAGTAGAGATGAGCTATGATTTAGTACGGCATTTACAGCATCATCTATGCATTTCTTCATATATATATATTTTTTTTTTTTTTACATTCTTGTCTGTTCAGGCATTGAAAAAATAAATGGTTCTGTAAGGCCTGCAGACAGCTTTTTTTGAAAAAGCGATTAATGAGTTAAGATAGTACTGAAAATCACTTTAAAAGTTATAAATTAAATATGTATGAAGTTTTTTGAAGTCTGCCAGTTACACAGTTGTGAGACTATAGTAATGTAAGAAATGAATTTACTATTGTTCTTCTGTTGTTGATGTCCTAATAAAAATTTTAAATGCCTGTATAAGATCAAAACAAACAGAGAAATGCCGAGCTTGTTATGTGGAAGAGTTTATGCAAAGCTATCTCCTTCGAGATCCTGAGTCAAATCAATGCTCATTTCAGTATGTCTAAAAAATAAAGGTTTTTTAAGCATGCTAAGAATCTGTGTAAATTTTTTTTGAGAAGATGGAATTTGGTATTTTGGTTTTGGCAAGCATTGAACTTAAACTATTTGATCCATGAAGTATCTAAACAAGCCTTGTTTCAGTTCTTGCTTTTGAACTCCTTGGATAAATTGCGATATTTTGTCACTAGCATTAATAACTAAGTTATGTGGAGATAGTGTTATTCTAAACAGTGCTTGAAAATGAATCTCCAAGGGTGCCTTATTCCCAAATGCTGTTTGTTCTTCTTGAGGTATTTTTAGGCTGCTCCTCTGGGAGCTGACCAGAGCACCAAATGCTGCATTCTTCACAGCTGAGGAACAATGTAAGCTCCTTATATCAGTAAATGATAACTTCAAGAAACACAGCCATGGTCCTATTTCCTTTTAAACGTAGAGTATTTTAAACAGAGTACTAACCAAAGGCAAACAACACATGTAAACCAATCAGACTACCCAAAAGAATGATAGACACTTGTCAGAAATTTCTGTGTATAAACACAGTAAGTCAGGAGCCCACATACACGGTTGACACGAGTACTGCTTCGCAGCTGACAGACATACCTGACTTTTGGGCATTAGATGAAAAAAAGCTGTAATGAAAAAACTCTTGATAATTATTTCAGTAAAACATCTGGACTTGCTCTTGAAGTAAGGACAGCTGCAACTAAACAAGGAGATTGAAACATGCAAAATATCTGGAATTACGGATTTGACTGTAAGTTCAAGAAACTTCATGTCAAGATGGTCACACCCCAGGCCTTTATATTTGTGTGCCTGGTGTACTTTGCAAAAAAATAGAAGAAAATCTAAGCAGATTCACTAATTCTTGAAATTCATTAACACATATGCACAGAAAAACATATTTTTATACTAGTGCTGCAGTGCTTCCTTCTACAGAAGGAGTAATAGTTGTTCTAAAATTTCCTTGTTCTGATTAGAATTTTTCTTAATATTTCAAATAAGAAAAGTTCAAAATATTGATTAGATTTTTTAAAGTACTAAATCTGTTTAAGTTTCTTAGATACCAGAGCAGCTATTCAATTTCTCATTTAAATTACAAGCCTGTCGTGCAGTATTTTCAGTTTTATGTTTGTTCCTATTTTCTTTTTTATTGACAGTAGAAGAAATTGAACATTTTAAATATAATTTATTGTAATAAATAGAATCAAGTGTTGCTTAGCATTCTGCTTGTGGCTATTGTACCACACTGTAATTTGAAATTTCCAATAACTACTTGTGGTAATATGTTTTAAGTTTAAAGTGCCAACCATTTATTTGTACGCTCAGTGTTCGAGCTGGAAGTCACTGAAAGCAATTAGTGAATTGTGGGAAGGTCATGGAGTTGGTGTAAAATGCAGTATTCATCATCATGTTGATATCACCAACAGACTATTTTTTTAATGCATTCCAATTGCATATTTTAATGGTATTTCTTTACCTTGCTGTAAGAATTAGAATCTAATGTGTCAAATGTTCACAGCTCGTACATTTAACAAAGGGAAATTTATATCTCTTTTTTGTGAGATGAATTCAGTGCAACATTTTGAAACGTCTTTCAGGAGTTTTGCAACAGTATATGTTGAAACTTTTTGTGACCGTGCACTGTTTTATCTGTCGTTCTCGAAATGGACATTTAATAAGCTGTTTTTCTTTCGTCATTTCTAGACTGACGGTTCAAAAATTTTGCCTGACAAATTGATGAAAAGGCATTATGAGTTCATGGAACTTCAGTAATCCTTATGAATGGAAGAAATCCTGAGGAGGTTTATTAAGCTTTGGAAATTAGTTGTAATGACAAAACAATTTGCCAGCCAGCTTAAGAAACTGGATAAAAGACCTAGTAATGGTTGATGCAGTTGAGTGCTGTAGAGACTGTATTACTGCTCATGTTCGTGAGAACATCCCCAAATCTGGATTTATGATAAAGTGCAAATCCCAAAGCATAACTTGCTGGTTACAAAAAAAACAAATTACAAGTGGTTTCATTCATTGTACTGTCCTTGGATTTAAGGCTGGCATTTCAAATCTTTACTAAGTGGGTTGTTTGGGTTTTTGGTTTTTTTTGTAAATGCTTTCAGGATGCTGTTCAGGTGTTGTTAAAGCATTCAGCAGATGTCAATGCTCGTGATAAAAACTGGCAGACACCCCTACATATAGCAGCTGCAAACAAAGCTGTGAAATGTGCCGAAGCTCTGGTGCCTCTCCTCAGCAATGTAAATGTGTCTGACCGGGCAGGCAGAACTGCATTGCATCATGCGGCCTTCAGTGGGCATGTTGAGGTAAGAGTTATTTTTCTTAGCTTGCTTCCCGCTTGTCATTCTGTCCCTCACATTTCTCATGTTTAGTTTCTCTGTTTAAAATCATGTTTCCCCCATCCCCTCAAAAAAAAACCCCAAAAAACAACTCAGTCCCTATTTTGTGCTTGAATTTGTCTTTTGCATGCATCTATGTACAGAATGGTTGTGGAAGCTGGAAGGATATTATGGCATTCACCTTAAGACAGAAGCAAATTTGTCTGAGTTAAGTGAAGTTAAACTAGCAAAAGATCAATTTAAAAAGTAATAAAGAAGATATTTTTCTGTTCAGTAGACAGCATCCGGAATGTGTTGTCACTGAAATGGAGAGGAAATGCATGTAATAATCTCTAACTTGCTTAGTTTTCAAATGCTGAAAAATGACTGCTGAGAAATTCCCATTGTAATTGTGCATAGGTAATTGGAGACAAATTTGCAATAGGCTTGCTTTTAGTGATTACCTTTAGAATAGAACAGAACATTTCGGTTGGAAGGGACCTGCAATGATCATCTAGTCCAACTGCCTGACCATGATGAGTGGCTATGATTAGTGAATTCTTTAGTAATAGCCTGAAGATCTGAAAGGTTCCACAATTTTGCCATTTTTAACATAGAAATGCTTCCACTGACATGGAGTTTTGTGTTCCTTGCAGTCACTTCATTATTGCTGCAAAGACGGGCAGCCAGTTCTTTCAAGCTTATGGAATACTCAAAAACCAACATATTTAAATCCTTTGAAAATGCATATATTTTTGCTTTCCTCTATGATTTTCTTTGTCTAACTTTAAGCAGGGTTTTCCATTATGAATAGAAGATATCTTTTCTTTCTGTTTATCTTAGATGGTCAGCTTACTGTTGTCTAGAGGGGCCAATATTAATGCGTTTGACAAGAAGGACAGACGAGCTATACATTGGGCAGCGTATATGGGTATGTACATATTTTAGTTGATTAATATTGTGGTAGAAAAAAAATCACCTTATGTTTAGTGGTTTTATATATTTCTAGGAAAAATATTTACACTGTAAGTATTGACGTTATCTGCATGTCTGCCAGAAAACCATTAATAGTATTAATTGCCTTGTAAATGTGTTTATGTGGCGAGAAAATAAATTTGTTAGAAAAAGAAATTTAAGGTAAGTAATTTTGTTCTTTAAAAGGAAGAAACTGTGTTTCTCAGTCAGCAGGAGTCTAATTACAGGTGAAAACTTTTGCAATAATGCTAAATAGAAAGTAAGCAATCAATACAAGGGCACCTGAAACAGAGGATTGTTACACCAGCCTTGGGGATTATATTTTAAAAGAAGAGTATTTGATTTCCGAAATGCCAGATTTTTGCCTTGCCATTCTTATTCCAGGAGTAGATAATTATTGTTCTCATGGTATTGACCAATGCACTGCCAGTACTGTCAGCGTACTTTCATTGCCTTTTATCAAGACTTTCATTTTAAGTGGTACGAATGGTTTTCTTCAGCATAGCTATAATAAATAGCAGTGTTTTGAATCTCGACCTTCATTTAAAATATGAGCAATCTAAACCGTTGGAAGGTGAATCGTAAGAAAATGCTGATTAAGAGTTCTAGGCTGACACTGACAAAGACTTCTTAGCTTTGACTGAGGACTGTGTTTAAGTAATTCACATGCAACTGATGGTTGTTTGTCATTACAGAATATGTTGTACCTGTTCAGAAGCCAGGAAATGTAATGTGTCTTTTTAACTTCTAGAAAATGTCTTAAAATACCCTTGAACACATACAATGTGTGTCATATATGAGCAGTGAACAATTAAGTTTCAGTTTTAAATTCAGGAAGAAGCCAGCTGAGATGATTCCATGGTCTTGATTGTTATTCTGTATTTTAGCTTTTTGCTTCAGAATTTTATCCAGCCAAGTGAGAAGAATAAAGCAGTAGCATCAGTTTTGTATGAATCTGTGTGCCTGGGAATTTCTTCTAAGATGAAATAGGGAAGTAAGACTTCATTATACGTATTTTTTTATTCCTGTTATGTCTTGATGACCTGGATTTTTCTAAATTTTAAAATCTTTAGAAAATACATATCTATATGGCTAAGATACCATCTTACAGAACTTAAGGAGACCAGTCAGGAAGAGAACATGATCCTATTCGTTATGACAGTTCTTTTTTCAGAGGTGATCTAAAGATGTCAACATTCTTGTTCCAGTTATAAGAGGAAAACACTACTTGGAATGGCTGTCTTGGTGAAAACTTTTATATGTAGGTTTTATAAAGGAGGACCTTGTATTTCTGACAAACATTTAAGTTAATGAACCAGAAGAGTAATTTCTGTAGTGTCCCTTCCTGAGTAAAACAAACTAATTTTTCTTTATCTGATATCAAACCAAAAAATAAACATATGTAAACTAGAAAATTACATGGACTCATTACATTGACTTCTCTGAAGAAGTCTAGGATAACTCTGCCATGGACACCTTCTTGTCTTGGGCAAAACACCCCTCAATATGCAGTTTGGTATTAATGCACATTATTATGAATGAGAGAATTACTTATAAATAGGCATAATGCTTTGTGATGTGTATGCATGGGAGGTGGTTCTTAAAAACAGACTTAAGGTTGTTAATTAAGCGTATTTCTCACCTATGATTCTGCGGCATTGAGTATTTTCTGTAACTGCTTTGGAGTTGTTATATTTATCCAAGCAGTGTTTCCCATTCTTGCCATGAAAGAGCAAATGGCAGCAGTAACTTAAAAGTGGAACTATGATTTTAAACTTAGGTACTGAGTGAAACAAAAGAGCAGTAGCTTGTGGGGCAGTATCTATTTAAATATAGGCACAAAAACCTGACCCTGAGTTTTGGCGGTTGATAACGTGTTGTTCGTTGTATAAAACTTGCTTTGGTTTGAGGACTGAGAATTCTGGTCTTACTAGTAATTAGTATTAATTACTAATTAATTGCTATTAATTACTAGTATCTAATTAGTATTTTGTAATCTACTTCTGTATGCAAAGCAATGTCTGTGACAGGCTGTCCAACCACCTTACTCAAGGTGATTATTTTCAAAGTTATATTGAATACAACTTGTGTGTGACATGGCAGAAATCTGAAAAGCATCAGTGAGAGGAGAGAGGTATTTTCTGACTTGTGCTCACCTATTTTTCAGATAAGCTATGTTTATTCCAATTTTAGGCTGTTAACAGGAAACTGTTTATGAACAGTGTTTGGGTGGGAAAAATGTAATTTATCTGATGTTCATCAGCCTAAATATCCTTGCAGACAATAGAGTAGAGAAAGCTTTTAAAAGACTTCAAACAAGGGAAAAAAAAACCTGTGACGTTCTCTCTCACAATTCAGAGCCATTTTACACTGCTCCAATTGTTTGAAGAAAGCCTCAGAGCTTTTCTACCGCATAAAACTGGCCATAGAATAAACAAGAAGTTATGCTTTTCGTCACTCTGCTATAAATAGCTTTCTAGGCTTATATCCATTGTTTCCCTTCCTTCCTGCTTTCCCCGGGCTCCATTGCTGTCCAGCTGTGATGCTGCGACTAAAATGGACTTTCGTTCGTGCGTGTTAGCGTCGCCCTCATTAGTGCATTGGGATGTCTCCGCAGCGCTTCCCACTTCAAGTACCTTGCTCTCCTGTTTGAGTGTCTTCCACTGATTGCTGCTTACATTTTCAATGCAGGTCAGGGATTTTTGGGGGGTTTTTTCTTCTCTTTAAAGTTTTTCTGCCACTGTTCTGTTCAGTGTCTCTCTTCCTTTCACTGCCTTCAATACCTTTAGTACTTCTACCTCTCATATAAGACTTGTTTTCATTCTTGTCCTCATTACGTTTGGGTCACAAGATGAGTATCATGTTTACATTTCTCTTTCTCTTCTCTCCCACACTACTGAAGTAATTCAGAAGTTAAATATTGCAAAATTTCATATTGCACTGCTCAACTCTGTGTGTATGGGTATAGCTAAACGAAGGGTCATTTTGTGTGTTGTTGGGCATGTAGCACGAAATATGTATCATGGTGATTGGATATTTATTAAAGTGGCGTTTTCTGTGTTCCTTTGAGTAGATATTTCCTATTCAAACTTTTGCATGTTCTCTTAGTCATTGTAAAACCAAAGACCCTCACTTTTAATGAAGTACTTAAACTGAAGGCTGCATGTGATACTTTTTACTTAAATGTGTGACTGCATAAGTATTCAGTCTTCCCACCACTGCTTTTTAAACTATGGTAAGGTCGGCACTTGACAAGTAAAACAAAGAATCCCATGTCTGTCTGTGTGGGTCAGGTGCAAAGGTAGAGCACTAAATCCGTTGTGGTCTATTTAACTCAGTCGTGCTCCTTTATTCTGCAGACATAATGATTATCCGTGGGTTTTCAGCGATTGACTTGTTTTGTGGTTAAATTAACAACTGAACAAGAATGAAAAATTCTATTACTCCGTTTTTGTAGTGTTTCTTTTAACTTGCAGTGTCACAACTGCATGCAAGTGGTGGAGCATGCAGTCATGGTGAAGGGGAAATCTGTGGTGCAGTGTTGGGGACCCTGGCCCAGCGACAAAGCTGGCAGTGAGAGCAACTGCTCGCTACTTCAGGGTGGGCTCCCAACCTTCCCTTTTCCACCTTCTTGCCTGGTGCTTCCCCCTAGGTCATCCTTCCCCCATGTTCCTGCTCCCAGTGACTTAGAGAATAGTTGTTGCTTTCAAAAGGCTACAATTCCTCAAAGGCCTAAGTCTATTTTGCAAACAGAGCTTTCCTAAATCCTGTTTGATTTGGGTCAACATTTTAAAGGCTTTGCAAGTGAGGGAAGCTGGATTTTGGGGGCAGAGGGGGGATGTATTTTTTTTTTTATACATATAATATTTTCTTCCTTTCATGTTTGTGTAATTCTTTCAAAGTTTGTGCTGGAGGCCTTAAAAACCTTCATGGGTATATTTGCAGTTGAGATGAAGGTGGAAGACTGGCAGTCACATTCTCTCTCAAGTTGTTAACAGAAATTTGCAGTAAATGTTTAATAATTACAAAGTTATGTCACCTCTCTAGTTCTTTAATCTTCCCGAAAAATCCTTCTATGTTAGCAGAAGACAAGATTTTTGTGGTATAAATGCTATGATTGTTGGAGGGAGTATGGGGAAATACTCTCTTCTGGAGTTTAATATTTCATGTTGCTTTTATAGTTCATGAGACAGAATTCAAGAACAATTCTTTATTTTTCAGATCAGATTAAAATGAATAATGTCTTATTTATGTAATACTAATTGTATAATTATTAAGTTTGTAAATTTGTGCTGGTTGATATAAAATGTAGCTCCATTCTTTTTTGCCTTTATTCGTTTAGGTCATATTGAAGTTGTGAAATTACTTGTGGCCCATGGAGCTGAAGTGACATGCAAAGACAAGAAATCATACACACCCTTACATGCTGCAGCATCTAGTGGGATGATCAAAGTAGTCAAATATCTTCTAGATCTTGGAGTTGATGTAAGGAAGAATAAAACAGTGATACATATTTTTTTATTGTTTAAAATGCTCTTGTTAAGTGTTGTAGCACACTGCTTATTTAGGGGCAGGTTGTGTGTGATATAGTGAAAATACTATTTTCACAGATCTTCAGTCATATGCTTTTTTGTTATAAAACCTCATTTTCCTCAAGTAACTTAAGAGCCTTGCAGATTTTGCAGAATTATTTAGAAATAAATTTGTATTTGGTAGTCTTTTTGTTTATTTTGTATTTCTTACTCTTAATTCATTAGACTGGAACTCAGGAAATAAGAATTCCGTTCCTAGCTTTGCCACACAATCCTTTTTGAACTGCAGGAAATAAAACTCTTGCATCAGTTCTTTGTAAAATATAGATGTTACTGACTTTCTTGTACCACATAAGTTTTTAGAAATATTAAAAATTGTGAGAAACTTTAATACTACAGTAAGGAAGGCCATTTTAATATTGAAATGCAAAATAAATTAAAAGGCTGTGCTGTACCTGCCTGCAGAAAGCGAGTTAACAACAAACTGAAACTGTGTAAGATATCTACATTTTGCACGGCATTTTAGTTTTACAAGTGTGGGGAATGCTGCCAAAGTTCTATCTTGAGAGGTAGATCAGAGTTCGGTATCATGTTGTGCACAGCAACAAATTCTACTTCTATGGTGCCTGCCCCTTCCACCCCCAACCTCCCCACCCTGGAAATGAAAAAATGAAAAACTATTCTTTAGAGTCTTGTTTGGTTTAGAGATCACTTGATGTTTTCTGACTTAGATACCTTTTTTTTGCAGCTCTTCTAATTCATTAACGAAATGTACGATTGCATTTTAGAAGTAGTTCATAACTAAAATTTCTCTTACACTCAGAACTCCTCAATATTATTGAAATGTCTGTGTATGTATATGCACACTGCATCTAGGAGTTCTAAATTTAAATGGCTAAAACTTATTTTGGGGAAACTCAGTCCCTTTGACCTCTGTGCAAATTGCCACTGCTGACGTTTTTTCCATGTGTGTGCTCTGTGAAATCGTGTACTGTGTACAGGAAACTGGTGTGCAGACAATAGGAGGAGGTTGGCTCACTTGCGAAGTGAGCAAGTACCCTAGCACACACTTCTCAATCAAAGTACCACATCCAGAACTTGTCTTTAATTTCTGGTTTTGAAGAGTTCCAAAACATAGTGAGGAAGTTGTCTCATGACATGAGATTTTTCTTTGTGATAATTAAATGCTGCAGTAATACAGGTTTCTGCCTATTTTTTTTTTCTTCTGACAGATGAACGAACCAAATGCCTATGGAAATACTCCTCTCCATGTAGCTTGCTACAACGGGCAGGATGTTGTAGTGAATGAACTCATAGACTGCGGTGCTAATGTAAATCAAGTGAACGAGAAGGGGTTTACACCTTTGCACTTTGCTGCTGCGTCAACACGTGGAGCGTTGTGTTTAGAGCTTTTGGTCTGTAACGGAGCAGATGTAAATATGAAGGTAGGTCAATCCAAAGCCATTCATTCACTCTTAAAGATGCAGTGTGTCTTAATCAAAGGTAATTTTTCAAAATAATTGTTACGGTAATGTTCATAAGTTTCCACTGATCGGTGAAGTACTTCTGTGAAAAAACCTCAATGGGATGTTGTAAATAGCCCAAAAGGGTAAAAAAGGAAGATGGCAATACTGTCTGGTCAATCTTGATTATGTTTAAATGTCAAAATTCCACATTATTTGTCTTCCCTGGTCTATCCATATGAGTAAGAGCAAATTACATAAAAATGCAAAGGAACATGTTATTCTTACAGATAAGTAGTACTAACAAAATCAAAGCTATTTCAGAGAAATGTGTATAAACAGGCTAATTGAAGAGCTGATAATGTAGGATCCTACACTCTAATTAATAAGGGAGAGTTGTGAAGGGTGTATTAAAAATACAAAGGTAAGGCCGGCCAGTGGAAAGTCTGAAACAGCTGTTTTTTCAATTAATCCAGCAAAACTGTGTGAGCAGAGTCAGTATACTTTTTACATTTCTACATGATCACAAATCTTTAGCTGCAGAATATTCCTTAGAATCCAGTCTTAGTGTAGGTAGTGTTTTTAATCCACCCTAGCATAAAAGCAATCTATAACCTCTATCTTCTATTATCTTCTCATGTGTGTAGGGTAAGGCCTTGAGATGTGAGACCTCCTGTTTTGTATTAAGTTGATTTTTACTCTAGTAATGAAAACTTAACTCTGTTCAGAAATATTCAATGGCAGTATCTAGTGTCTTGACAGGTTTCAGGTTGGGGGAAGTGGGAAATGGGTGTGTGGAATGAAGAGTCTAAATGTTCCTTTTGCAAACTATCTAATTGCCTATACTGTCGCCCCACATGTGGTAGGAAGAGAATTATCTAACCTTTTGGTTTTTATTTAAAAAAACAAGGCTGTTTAATAGAGTTATGCCTTAATTTCAGCACACTCTGGATTAAGAGGTAAATATTAGAGTAGCTAACATTTCTGTTAAGAATCATAGGGTTTGTAGCTCACTTCATGTAAATATTCGCAGTGATTTTCAGCTGACTAATTCTAAAATACAATTTTGTGTCTATTGTTAGTACTAAATTTGCAGCCTACTGAAAATTTAAGAGTAATATAAAAATAAGCTATTTGCTGTGGAAAAAAATCTTAGATGTGTTCTTTAAATATATTTTAAAGTGCAGCTGACTTAACGAAAACATGCTTAAACTCAGTTGTGGAAAAATTAATCACCAAAATGCCCTGGAGAAGTTAGGAGCTCTGCTACAGGGTTTATTGCCAACTTGTCCTAAAATACACAGGTCACACAGTCCATTTATGTTTGTTGCCAGCTTTCTGCTCTGCATAATGTCCCAGACTGGGTATGACTGAGAGTTTAGCCTTACAGGGCTGACTTCTGTCCTACATTCTTGAAGCAGCATTTCTCAATAGCATATGTTCTGTTATGAAAATAATCCCACAATGTTAAATATGCTACTGATTATGTACATATGTTATTTACACAAATAAGAACAGAAGAGAAACATAAATATTACCAAGCAAAGAATTACTGTCTCCCTCTGTGCTGTGTTGCAAGGGTTCATGACTTTGTACATCCTTCTGATGTAGAAGAAAGAAGTGAGGTGGGCTTCATTTCAGAAAGATGGGCAGCACATAATGGTGGATTTTGGGAGGTTTTTTTTGCTCCTTGTTTTCAAATGCACCACAATTGTAGATTAGGAATGAAATAAAAATCTTCCAACATTCTATTAGAATAATTAAACACTTTTAAAGATTACTATAATATTTATTTGAACTTAAAATATAAATTATTATACTATTACATGTAGTATACACTGTGGATCGTCACTACATTTAGTCAGTTATAACACTAAGTAACCTTTGAAATTGTGCAAAGAGCAGCTGCTATCTTAAAAGTGACTGGCAAAGTTTCTGAATTCTTTGAACTTTATAATGTGGATGCACTTACGTTTGGAGGTGGCAAAAGATGTTTTAACATCAGAGAGATGTGGTTGCCTTCTTTCCTGTTCAATTTTAAGTTATGGGATCCAAAGTATAGGTTTGTGGGTTTCTGTAACTTAAAAAAAAATTTCTTAGAAGATTTGGTATGAGTAAACCCAGGTTTTCTCTTAAGCTTACTCTGACATGACAATCATTTTTTTCTGAAACATGATGGGAAATGCAGCCTGCAGCATATCAGAGAGCTGAGAATTTCAGCTGAAGTCTGAGAACTTCAAAAAGAAAGATTTGGCCACTGAAGTTAGCCTACTTCAGAAGAAAATGTCTTTACTGTGTGTTGTAGCTTTAGCTATAGGTTGGCTGTAATTAAAATGTGTTGCTTGAGTAAGTAGCAAAACTTTTAAGTGCAAAATTAAGCAAGTATGGTCACGTACAGATTTTAAACAATTGTAGCTTGAAAACAGCATTTATCCCATTTCTGCACCAGCATGTGTCTCTATTGTAATTCTGATAATAGCGTTTCTGTGGATTTATACCAGTATGACTCTAAGTTGAAGAGGTACGGACTGTTCAGTGAATAAGGAATTGCCTGGATGGTCGCATCCAGAGAGTAGTGGTCAAGGGCCCGATGTCCAGATGGAAGACGGTGACAAGTGGTGTCACTCAAGGGTCTGTACTGAGGCCAGTGCTGTTTAATATATTCACTAATGATGTTGACAACAGGATTGAGTGTACCCTCAGCAAGTTTGCTGACAATACCGGGCTGGGCGGTGAGGTTATATGTGCCAGAGGGAAGGGAGGAGCTGGAGAAGTGGTCCCAGGTGAACCTCAGGAAGAAGGAGGAAAAGGACTTCAGGGTACTAGTAGATGAGAAGCTGGACACGAACCACCAATGTGCATCTGCAGCCCAGAAGCACAACTGCGTCCTGGGATGCATCAAAAGAAACATGGCCAGCAGGGCGAGGGAGGTGATTCTGCCCCTTTACTCTGCTCTGGTGAGACCTCACCTGGAGTACTGCATCCAGCTTTGGAGTCCCCAGCACAAAAAGGACATCGAAGTGCTGGAGCATGTGCAGAGAAGGGCCACGAATATGATCAAAGGGCTGGAGCACCTCTCCTACAAGGACTGGCTGAGAGAGTTGGGGCTGTTCAGCCTGGAGAAGAGGAGGCTCCAAAGGCTCCAGTACCTGAAAGGTGCCTGTAAGAAATCTGGAGAAGAGCTGTTCACTAGGGCATGTAGCGATAGAATGAGGGGTAATGGTTTTAAACTAGAAAAGGGTAGATTTAGGTTGGATATTAGGAAAATGTTTTTCAATATGAGGGTGATAGATCACTGGAACAGGTTGTCCACAGAAGAGAGGTGATGGAGGCCCCATCCCTGGAGATATTCAAGATCAGGCTTGATGGGGCTCGGAGCAACCTGATCTAGTAACATTGTCCCTGCTCACTGCAGGGGAGTTGGACCAGATGATCTCTAAAGGTCCCTTCCAACCCAATACATTTTATGATTCTGTGACTGAATTTGGCCTGTGAATTTGCGCCTGAAGGTGTGAACAGCCTTACTTAGTATATGAAAACTTACCATTTGCACTGTTGAAAAGTGCAAGAACTGAGGTAAAAGAAAATTGTTTCCAAGTCAACTGCTGCTTCCCTGGAAAGGCAAGGCTATAAGGGTAAATCTTGCTTTTAATCAGAAGAGCAGTCCCTATAAAATAGCAAAGGGAAATCCAATTAGAATACGTTGTGTCGCTTAGAGTAATTTGTAGACCTAAAATGGGATGCTTTTAGAGCATTCTTACTAAATATTTTTTGAAACCAAGCCCATTCAGTTTCCAGATACTGAGGCTGAAGTTGTAGTTCTTACAATTGCGATAAGATTTATTTTTCATCACAATTATATTGCTTGTATAATCTGATTCAGTATTCCTCCCATGTGCAACTGTTTCTGTGTTTGTAGTGGTAACAGGGTGGGTTTGGATGGTAATGTAGGTGCAGACTAGACAGTGCTATTAGAGCATTTTGTGCTGTGGGTGACCTAGTGGGGAGAGCAAGCGGGAAACACTCTTATTCCTGATGGCAGGTGGAGGGTAAGTGCTTGTGCATAGCAGTGGATGCTGGCCTCATCTCCAGAAGGGCTGTGTTGTAGAAGATAGTGGAACAGTCAACATACATCGTATGCTTTTTATCACCTGCATAGGCAGAGGACATAATTTCATACTTGTTTTCATAGCCTTGTCAGTGTCTCTATAGTCCTGTAGAATAGTGAATCCTGTTAAATATTGCTCATTACTGCAGTGCTCTCTCCTCACTATTCAGGATTTTCATGCATGGAAGAACACATTGAAATCGGTGTGTAATGGGACAGTATTAATCGCTTTATGGGCCCACTTGCTGCTTGAAAATTCAGTGACCTAAATAGGAGTAGTATTTTACTTCCACTGGTGATACTAGAATATAAGAATTGTTGCTGGGGGGAGATTTCACTTCAGGGACTGGTATGGCATGATAGACCCACATTTCCCCTGACCCTCAGTAAAGCTCAGTAGTCTGGGTACAGTTAATATCTGAGTATTCACTTGGTAGAACACCTTGTGCTGTGTGTTAATTCTTTCTGTATAACAGCAGTTACTGCTCTTAGCAAATTTTGTATGATATTAAGTGTTTTGTGGATATGTTATCTCTAGTGAGCGAGGGGATTTGATGGATTTCTTTCCCATTACCACACTTAATTGAGTTTCAGTGAAGACAACAAAAGTTACCATTACCCCATATCTGATCTCGTAAAATCAGACAGCTGTAATGTTTAGATAGAAACCTTAAAGGCATAAAAAAAAAGGAAATTGAAGCAAAAGTTTTGAAGATACCTCCTTGCTTATGCAGTCCAACCTCCTGGCATCTCAGGAAACAGTGTTAAAATACTTTGCTCAGTGAATAGAGCCTTGCTGTTTCATTGCTTAAGGAACTCTGGCTATTGGTTCAGATTCTGCTCAGTGAGACTTGGATATAGTTTTTTCTGTTCCATCTTCTTACTCTTCATTACCCTTTCTTTGAGATACAGGTTTAGCATATCTGAGCCAGTGAGATTGCATGCCGCTTTATCTGAGTGCTTAAATTCTTCTCTCTGTTGACTTCACTAATTCATTTCCTTGCTTTCTCAAATTTTTAAAATTTAGAACATTAGTTACCAAAGCACCTTTTGGTCACTCACTCAAACTGAGCTTATTTTAAATGATAATTTTTCTCTAAAATAATTGATTCTTAGCTTAAAGAGGGAGAAAATGGAGGGAAGGAGACACAAGATGTGTAATGATTGTTTTAAAGAAGGAAAATAATTGTACACAGAGAATATTATGATTGGGTAGAGACTATTACTACACTGCAAGGAGAAAGATGAAAGACAGACATTAGAAGAAAATTCTCTTTGTAAGAAAATCAGAGCATAGAGATTGCTTGGGGAAGTTGTCACTTATGATGTGTTTATCTGTCTTTTGCTTAAGGCCTCCAATGACAGAAGTAAAATCGATTGTCTAATTCCTCAAGTAGATTTCAACCCCATTTTTTGTGTTTCTTTACATCTACTATGGATATGTGGATGTGTCTTTTGAATTATTTACAGTCCAAGAAATCTGCTAGCCGAAACATCTGGAGATAACTTGGCTGTCATTACCAAGTGTTTTGTTTCTTTCCATCTAGGTCTGAGAAGACAATATTTCTCATAAATGTGGTGTTCTAGGTGGTGTATGGTGCTCAGTGACACCACTAAAATTTCCACATCCAACTTTGTGTAAAAGAGTCTTCAGCAGACTCTCAGTAACACATCCATAGGAAATTTGCCATTTGACTCCAAAGGAAGAATAAAGAGGGGAAGACACTTATGCACATGACAGCAGTTCGTGATATTTCAATACATATGTTCATATCGTATGTTCCCTCTACCACCTTTGTCTTTTTTAACTTGGTATTTTGTTAATATTTCATAGTCTTCAAAGCCAACATTTAAAATTTAAAGATGTGGTGGTATGCATGTGCATCTAAGAGCGCTTTTATTTTCCATGAGTGTCATGTTTGCATTTTTTGGTGTGCGTTTGTAAGAACTTTTTTCTGCAATAAAGCTTTCCTGTTATCTATGATAATGCACAAGTGGAAAAAATCTTTCTGAAGTAATAATAAAAGAAAAAATGGTTTTGTGAGTGCATTGAGATTGTGCTGTTAAAAATTTAAATTCCCTTATGCATTACTGTTGGCCCACTTGAAGGATATCTTTACAGGGTGAATGACTAAGTGAACATTTGATATGTCTATCAAACGTATAGTACCAATTATGGTTGAATATTCTTACCCTAGAATTACTTACGGTTTATGGTAAATTGCTTACGAGTGTCACTCTATAGAAATTTCCATGTAACACATGAGGTTTTTAATGTGCTGTCTTCTAGTAAACCTGTATGCTAAATACAGCTATTTTCTTTCAAGAAACAAACTTAATTTAAAGCAGCAGTGTTTTGTTTTAGACTTAGGTGAGGGGAGTGATGGATGTAGGCTTGTTGTTAGAGTTGTGCGCTGTCATCATCTTCTTGAGAGAGATTATCCTGAGGGCATAAGTGTGAGTGAGTGGGCATCACTGAGCTGTCATCCACAGCTGGAGAACTGATTAAGAGCCGCTGTTTTGAAAAGCTTGCCATGTCACGCTGGCTTCTCACTGCTGGCATCTCTCTTGCAGAAGTGCATAGAAACAATTTAAACGTGGGAGTAGAGGGGAGAGAAGAAAGTAAAAATGTCCTTTCTTTTTGTTTGGTCATTCTGATGGATTACTATTACTGGCCATAAGTAAACACTGGTTTGGTTTTTTCTTTTCCAGAGTAAAGATGGGAAAACGCCTTTGCACATGACAGCAATCCATGGTAGATTTTCAAGATCTCAAACCATCATTCAGAATGGTAAAAAGGGGGAGGGAGTAGTTCTGTCATTGGCTTTCCAGTCTCTCAAATATTTTTCTCCTCTTGTATTGATAATAACGTATTGGAATTTTTTTCATAGTCAATGTCCAATAGTAATTCAGTTAATGGTAGTGTCTGGCATGTCTGCTCCTAAAGTTTGATGAGTTACATTGAAGAGCCATTTATTTTTTAGAATGCAGGAAAAGATATTAACTTCTTTTCCATAACCCACTTTGCAGAAAGTTTGTCTAATATACCTGCATAACAAAATGCTTCTCTATACTTTGCTTATTATTATTAATACTAAATAGGTGTATAGATTTTTAAATCCAAAGTAGTCATTCATGGACAATTATTAGTGCTGCTTAAATTATCATCAGTGCTGATTTTCTAACAAAAGTATCTGTATGCCTATGTATATTCTTACTTAGTAATTGCGTTTTGTTATAGGAGCTGAAATAGACTGTGAAGATAAGAATGGAAATACTCCTTTGCACATAGCAGCTAGATATGGCCACGAGCTATTAATCAACACTCTGATTACGAGTGGTGCTGACACTGCAAAGTAGGTAACTTTACTGACACGAATGCAAGCTGAGAGAATTTAGAAATGTATTTATTAGATTAACAAGACTAGTATGCTTTTTAATATAGTCTTCAGCTTGAAATAGGAAATACTTTGTGTAATGTGCTGTACTTAACATCTAAATAGCTTCACAGTACATTGCAATTTGTACAAAAAGAAAGAGAAATAGATTTTCCTTAATGTATTTGAAGTAAAAGCTCTGAAAGTTTTAATAGGCTGTTGCACTGAATTAATGCATCCTGCTAGCTTTTAAGGAAGCGTTTAATATGTAAAGTTTTCCTGAGGCTCAGTATTCTAATTAGGTGGTTTGCTGAACCCACCAGGCACATGCACTTTGGCACACAATCATGTTTGTTTTATTTTAATTGTAATGAAACTGTGATGCCTGATTATGGTGTATCTTAGGCGGGGTATACATGGGATGTTTCCTCTCCATTTGGCAGCATTAAGTGGATTTTCAGACTGCTGCAGAAAGCTCCTCTCATCAGGTAGGATACTTGTTAATAATCTTACGGGTGCTTTGTACTTAATTTTTTATACCTTAGAATTCTTTTTAAGTCTTAAGTAATACATTAAAATCTTCGTCGTTTGGTGGTAGTCTGTGGCCCGTGCTTGTTTTTATAATGTACAGTTCAAAGTGAATGCAAACTTTCACAGAAGCAATTTTAAAACAAAAAAAAATTTAAAAAGAAATCCAAAATTAATTCATGCATTTATAACGTTTTAAATGTTGTGTTTGTGTGTTTTAAGTTGGCTATAGAGGTTCAGACCATAATACAACTTCTAGGAGGAAGACTTATGTACTCTTAAAACTTCATCAAACATCCTCCATTTCCCTTCCATGTTGTCTTTAGCTTAGTACAGATTGGTCTGTTTCTATCTATTCCTGTATTCCTAATAGCTCTGAAGACTCTGTGGATTGCTACATTAAGAAACTGTTGCATTGGTGGTTTATTGATAATGAAATGCAACCCAAACTGAAGTTGGAGATTGTTGTAGGGTTATTACTTCCCTTGCTGTCCAGAGTCTGCTCTGGTGTGAATTCTGAGCTCTTTGAACCACTGAAATTGTGAGAAAGCAGATATTGTCTGAGGAATTGTGGAAGCTTCAGGAACTGAAGGAGAAGAAACAAAATGGTTCTGCATTAATCTGAAGGCACTTCATGGGTTTTGAAGGAGATTTTTTTACTGGAGATTCAGTATGGCAAAGTTCCTTCTTGGTTTCAAATGAAGTAAATTTTCAGTGCTAGTGTTTTTTTGCAAATAGCTGTTAAGTTTGCTTAGCAAGCATTTCTCTAAAGAGTAGATGAGAGCGCTTTTTGTGAAAGGGAGTGTTACATAATGATTTTACAAAATACTTGATTTTTAGGTTTTGACATTGACACACCAGATGACTTTGGCAGGACTTGTCTTCATGCAGCTGCAGCTGGAGGGTATGTAAAAAAGCATTCATGCTTTCCTATTTCGTGTTCTTTTTTCAACTGCTGATCATTCCTGTTATTTTTTTATTTCCTCTCTCTGCTTTTCTTGCCCTTTCCCCTTGGAATTTATGTAAACATGAAAATCTATCTACAAACAATAAAACTGAATTAAATATTCAGCTCAGTAAGTAATTGTTGGAGTACAGTGTCCAGGTATCATCATCCTTACTTTAGGTTTGTGCTTGGGGCTGAACTGAATTTTGTTTTAAATTCCCATGGATGATGAGGTAATGTTTAGAATTGCAGCATTCAAAGATGGCATGCCCAGCTAAGATCACTGTAGGACATGAGGTGGAGAACAGCAATTTTGGGAAATATGTTTTTACCATATATATAAGCAAAAGATCAAACTAAATTAAAAGCCATAATTAAATTCCAGAGTTTAGGTGGATGAAGTAGTCAGAACTACTTGCTCATAACTTGAGTTGTGGTCCATATTTGATTATTGTTATTGTACTGTAGGTTTTCTATAGCAGCTACTCAAAATTGCTGAGAAGAATTGGGTAATAAATTTCATTATACACTTTGTGGGACACAAGAACTCCATGATATTGATTCTTTTCATTTTTTCTGTTTCAATGTTGTTTAAGTAATACTATTAAGTAATCATTCTAAGTCAAAAGATACTTGATGGATACATTCTTGTTGCAAATAATTAAGGTTAAAATGCTAGCTTTTCAGATAAAAACACATAATTTGTGACACATTCCCTCATTCATCTCCAGCTTAGGAAAGTAACTAAGGTAGTGTTTAAACAATAAGCAGTATTGTATATCTGTTATAATTATCATATTGTATTGAAAATTAATTACACTAAAAGGTAAAATATTTATGCTGCAATTTATATTTGGCTTTTAAAAATATGCATTAAAAACTTGCCTCCGTGTTGGAATCCTGGTAGTAAAAAGCATGTGATGTGCAGGTGTTATTGTTTGTTTGCTTTAAAGAATTGGAATTTCTATTAAATTACGTTAATGTTTATGTGCTTTTATGCATGCCATTTGAGATCAATAAAATTTCTATATATGGACTTGAAATAATTTTTATTCTTTCCTGGTTTGTTCCTGCAATTATAAAACCTACTTTACATAATAAAAATATATTAATCAAAAGTTTAACATTAATAGTTCAGTTCAATTAAAAATCATGTATGAGATGTATATGTGTAACAGTTTTGATATTTGCAAAATCCAATATTAAGGAAATAAAATTTGCAATCACAACTAATATTGCATTAATTTAATAGGAATTTGGAGTGCCTAAATCTTCTGCTAAATACTGGTGCAGACTTCAACAAAAAGGACAGATTTGGGAGGTAAGACATTCTAGACTTGTATATAATAAAGAGCTGTTAAAAGCGTTACAGAAGTAGCATATTGCTACGTGGGCAAGTCTGTGTGTTCCAGTTTAAATGTCATTTAAGATATAATGTCTCTAATAAGCTGTGCTTCAAATACTTTATAAAAAGTTACAAACTTATTTTCTTCATTTTGTTTTCTAGTCTTGTTTTTAAAGACGAAGTTCCATATTCACCTGTAATTTTTATGAGCCATTTTTGCTTCTAGAATGAATCTAATTACTTTAAATTGCTCTTATCTAAGGACATTAGTGATGTGTTCCAGATAATATATTAGTCAAACCTATAAATCTGTTGCTATTTCTAAGCTTTTTTTATTAAGAAATCCGTTATTTTATTTTAACCTCATCACCCTTTTCATTATATCCATCCCTTTCTGTTTCTTTGTTCACACTGTGAACTCCTTTGGAATTATATTAATTTCTATTTTTAGTATAGGATTATTTAAGTTTAGAAGGCACGATCAGCACTTGTGTAAAATCTCACATCACATAATGGAAAATATGATTTTCCAGGATGTGAACAGCAGGGGTAGGACTTGAGAATGTTATGGATCCAAAGTTGTATTTTGCTTTAAATTCCACTCCCATTCTTTCCTAAGAAAGGAATAACTATCTGATACAACTTCTGTCATTGAAAGTTGTGCTTGTGTGTGTATGTGTGTGTGTGTGTGTGTGTGTGTGTTTGGTTTTTTGTTCAATGTGCACATTATATACAGCAATTATTCCAGGAGACGGAAAAGATTAAAATAGTTAAAAATGGAGAGAAATGGGAAAAGTAATTTTACAGGAGAGGTAGGAGGTAGGACACTTTAAAATGCCTGTCTCCTCAAAATTGAGATCTTTGCAGTAGCAGTCTCCTTTTAAAAATAGAAAATGGAATTCTGAGTCATCTTGATACTTCTGAAATTTTACCCAAACTGGTTTATTTAGAGAATTGATTATGTACGTAAAGATGGAATAAATTTCCCCTGAGATTATATATCAATACAAATATTTCACGTTCTTTTTATAAGAAGGTAAGGTGTATTTTTACATTTTCTTTAACAATACTTCTGCTATATTAGTATAGTTAAAAATAAATAATGTTTGCTTCTCAGTCAAAATTCTGATCTGTGTCAAGAACATCTACTTGTTAATTGTTGTATTTTATTTTGACCTTGTTTAGTTGTTATGCAGTTCTTAGATTTGTCCAATTTTTTTCCATGTGTCTTGAAATTACTTACCTAAAAATAGTATTTCTAATGTAAACCTTATTTTCCTTTGTGTTTACACAAGGAAATTAACATAAAGCTTACCTTAATACAAGATTTGTGCGTAATTTGACTGACAAATAGATCACATAGATACTGTTCTGCATTATTAAATGGCTTTTAGAAAATGGCCCTATTATTAATATTGTAATAATGCATTCTTCACCACAAACACATGTTAAGAAATGTAAGAAGGATTTAAGTTTCATTTTATTTTGCTTTTTCTGTCTCTATAATATTATTTTGCTGTTATTTACCATTGTACTTTTCATTTAAATGTGTACTAAAGAACTCCACTCCATTATGCTGCTGCCAATTGTAATTATCAGTGCCTGTTTGCCCTTGTGGGGTCTGGAGCAAGTGTGAATGACCTTGATGAGAGGGGTTGTACACCTCTGCACTATGCAGCTGCATCAGACACAGATGGAAAGTAAGTGGCATGCTTTGTACTAAAGCCTTTCTTCTTAGAAGCATTTGAGCTGTGAATTTCATGTATTTTCTGCCTTCAGATTTGCCAAATCAATTTTTTCTTGTATTTTTAAAGGTTAAATTTGACAGTGGATTGTTCATTGTATATAAAAATATTTTATGTAACAAGTATTTCTGGGAAAAATTAACAATAGTAAAATGTATTATAATTTTTTTATTATATTCTATAATGCAGATGTCCTAATTCAGGAATTCATTGGGAATAGAGTTTTTAATCCCACCTGCTGTGTAGTGGTTGAGTAAATATCATTTGTGAGAGTTATTGTGACAGTTGTGAGCAGTAAGGTCATTTTAATTTAAAATCAAATTCTGATGAAGGATGGTTGTGTTTTATGGAGGGTTCTTAACATTGCACAAAACTCAGGGTAGTTAGTCAGAAATACACTGTAAAACTAGACTGAGTTACAGTGGGCCTACATCAGGATAGAAATTAACTTGACATTTAAATGTAAGATGCTTTATCCATTTGGTGTTTGATTAAACTATCCATGTTTGGCATTACACCTCTATCTCTTGTTAGTTAAATTTTTGTGAAGTAGTTACATTTCTATTAATGAAATGCATCCAGAAACTTCCATAAATCCATAAATGTTTCTTGCATGTGTTTATTTTGTAACTAATAGTTATATTTGACATAGTTATTAATGACTTAGCTGCTTACATGCAAAGCTTAAATAGCACAAAGTTGATGGGGTTACTTAAACTCCATACAAGGTATATATTGAGGAGATTTGAGAAGAGTACCACAAGCTGGTGTGCAGCATCACATTTCAAATGCACACAGTGACACCTTCACTGGAAAAGGGTGCTGCTTTTAGTGCCTTATCATCCTCTTTTAATTCAGCACCTTTTAAAAGATGAAGTAGCAATAGGAGCGAGGTGGCATATAGCTTGTAGACTGGGTTTTGAAGGATAAGTAAAGAAAATTTTCATGGCCATTTAATATTTAAAGTACACGCCTTTTTATGTAAGCCAGATTTCCAAACAAAATCGTCTGCTGCTTTCTAGATAT